GACTCTATTTCTGGCTTTTATTTTTATTTACTAAAAATTTTTTCAATGTTTATTTATTTTTGAGAGAGAGCAGGGGAGGGGCAGAGAGAGAGAGGGAGACACAGAATCCGAAGCAGCTCCAGGCTCTGAGCTGTCACCACAGAGCCCCACGCGGGGCTTGAACTCACAAACTGCGAGATCATGACCTGAGCCGAAGTCGGACGCTTCACCGACTGAGCCACCCAGGTGCCCCTCTTTTTCTGGCTTTTAGATGTGGCTCCCTCCTGAGACCCTGAGCCCCAGGAGGTCGAGGACCAGGCTGCTTTGCCTGTGAGCACATTGTCCAGCCTGGGGCTCGCACAGAGCAGGGGAAGCTGAGGGTGGCCAGAATGCAGGGGAGAGGTGGGGGAGCTGCTGTAGTGGAGCGTCAGGATGCCCCCGCCTCCCACTCTCCGAAGTCCGGCTCAAGCACCATGGTTCACACCACCTCTCTCCTACCCTCCAGAGACCCTGGAGATCTCTGTCTTAAGAAGAAAGGGGAAATGTGATTGGGGGATTCCCAGAGTCCCTGTGCAGTGTCCTGACCGGGAGGTCACTGTGATGCAGAGGGAACAGGCAGCCTGGCCCGGGCAGGGCCCTCAGGGTGAGGCATCCGGCGTGAGCCCTGTGGGTCTCTGGGCACAGGCTCCAGCTGAGACGGGGGAGGGGCAGGGGTCCCAGGACCCAGGTCTCAGGGGGTTATGGGAGGAGATGCCTGGGGGGGTGGGCTCCACCTCATCTCCCAGGAAAGATGGGGTGTGGGAGCCACAGACATGCTGATTCCTGGGTGCCTAGCACTGAGGAAGGGGAGGGCCACACCTGGCAGGTGACAGCCAGCAACAGGGGAGCAGAGGGCCCTATCTCCAGCCTCCTCCTTCTGTCTCACCTCCTCGATGATGAGTCAGGTGCCCCTGCCTGGTCCTTCCCTGCTGCCCAGGATCTCCTCCCCAGGGTCCCTTAGAAATGGAATTAGGTAGTGACCATGAGGGCATTGGCGGCTGCCAGTGGGACCCTTAGCCACCCCTATCCTGAGGAGCATGGCAGGAGTTGGAAGGTCAGTGGGGGTGTGACAGGAGGCACAGTGGTTGCCAGCGCCCCCAGACCCTACCTTGAGCATGCTCTGAGGCCCCTGTGTGCTGCTGGGGTTCCTAGAACATTCTAGAACATTCCCGATGCAAATGAGGGTTGAGTGGAGCGTGCCCCTTCCCCTTCGTTGGAAACCCCCAGATGGCCTACAGGCAGGAGGGTGTACACGCCCACATGAACAGCAGCATGGAGGTACCCTCTAGCAGGCTTCCGGTGTGGGGACATGGCCTGTACTGGTGGCTGTCCCCCGGGGCCTCCCAAGCCCCCACCTGTCCTCAGGGGCAGGGCCGGTTGTCCTGGGGGACCGTGATCACCACTGCAGAAAGAGAGCATTCATCTGGGGGCGCTGCAGGCAAGGGGAGCAGAAAGGGGACAGGGGAGATGCCAGGGCTGGTTCTGCGAGGACAGGGTCCCGTGAGGGAGGCAGACATTCCAGAGACACCCTCACAAGAAGGAACGTGAGGTCAGGGGCTCCTCTCCCGTGTCCTCTGCATCGCCCCCCAGGGCTCCTGGTGCTGCGGCCACAGAGCAGGGGGGCGGCTGGCCAGCTGAGGGACAAGGAGAAAACAGCGGGCCGCCTGGCGCCCGGGCTTCATTGACAACGGTGCCTGAGGCCTGGGGCTTCTCCCGAGCGATGAGCAGGAGAGCGGCCCCCACCGCCACCCCTGGAGTCCCAGCCTCTCCACATGCGTGGGCGTCAGCGTGCCCGCTGCAGAGCCCGGCCGTCACGCACAGGTGGGGTCCAAGGTCGGAGGCACACAGGACCACGTCCTCCTGCCTTGCTCCGGGACTCTGCCCACATGGGCTCTTCCCTCCCACGGGCGTCGGGTCGGCCTGGGCACGCTGGGGGAGAGCCAGCAAGCCCCGCGAGCATCAGCCACGTCCCCTAGCCTCTGAACAAGGACGGGCAGGTCCAGACTGTCTCTGGGGCTGTCCTTGCCCAGGTAGTTCAGCCCGGTGCACACAGGACGGACGTCTTGAGTTCCCTGCCGACCCCCTGCCCGGCTCTGCGGTGGCCGCGGTGGCTGGGAGACCCCGGAGGCCCAACATGGAGTCAGGCTGGGGGTTCGAGCACAGCGCTGCTGCGGACGCGCTGTGTCCCAGTGGCCCTGGACGGGCCACCTAACCTCTCTGCTTCCACACCTTTGGAACCACGAGCCTCGGCTGGCATGTGGCACCCAGTTAACTCTGTTGCGACCAGCCCCCGTGAGGACACGGTGCTCAGCCCTCCCCTCCCTGCCCGGCCCGGGTCCCAGAGGCTGGGGAGTGTCCGTTAAAACGTCACACACCAACGTGTGACCCAACCTGTTCGGTGATTTCTTTGTAAGATGATTTCCAGTGATGGAGTTGAAACCAAGAAGAAATATAGCAGTCCTGGTGCGCTCCCGATGACAGTTAGGGGACCTGTGGTGACTGTCCGGGTGGGGGCTCCCTCCAACAGCCCCTCAGGGCTGGGAGCCGAGCCTGTGCTCACGGGGGGCCTCGCGGGGGCTCCCCAGCCTTTGGGTCCCACCTGACACCCCCCGGCCCCAGCCTTGGAGGACGCCGTCCTGGGGGATGGTGATCAGAGGTGGACCCCGCTTCTGAGCGCTGGGAGGCTTTTGACAACAGGACAGCGGCAGCCCCCACCCCATCCTTGTGACTTCACCCCTGCCCGCTTCCTTTCCCGGCACCCAGGCTGTCCTCCTCAGCGTCCCCTGAGAAATGGAAGAGGTAGCGATCCCAGGGACATTGGTGCCAAGGTCAGTCTGGGCTGGGAGACCAGCGATCCGCTCAGTGGATCCTGGGTCTGGCGATGGGGACCTACCCGGGGCCTGTGGAGCTGGACATCGGGGCCGGGATGGGTCTCATTGATTTGCAGCCTCAGAGACAAGGGAAGTCAGAGGGTGTCATGCCTGTCACATGACCACGGGCTGAAGCGACGTGGGAGCCATGGGGCTCTGGGGGAGACTCCCCAAGATACTTCCCATTCGAGGTGCCAGCGGGGGTGGGGTGGGGCTAACCACCGGGTGCCTCGCACCAGCCCCCCGCCGGCCTCTTAGGGCACCGGGCATGTGGTGGTCCCCCACCCCTAAGCTGTCCACACGTCCACCGGCTCCAGGGGCAGCCATGATGCTGGGAAGCCAGGGTGGGGAGGGCCCCTTCTGGACGGGAAGTTGGGGTTTGGGTCCCAGCATGGTGTGCACCCAAGAGACCCTGGGCCCGGGGTGCCTGGGTGGCTCTGTTGGTTGAGCGCCCAACTTGGGCTTAGGTCATGATCTCACAGTTCATGGGTTCGAGCCCCGCATGGGCTCGCTGCTGTAAGCACAGAGCCCGCTTTCGATCCTCTGTCTCCCCTCTCTTTGCCCCTCCTCTGCTTGCGCTGTCTCCCTCAAAAATAAATTAAAAAAGAAAAGAAAGAGGGGCACCTGGGTGACTGAGATGGTTGAACGTCTGACTTCAGCTCAGGCCACGATCTCGCGGTCTGTGAGTTCGAGCCCCGTGTCGGGCTCTGTGCTGACGGCTCGGAGCCTGGAGCCTGCTTCGGATTCTGCGTCTCCCTCTCTCCCTGCCCCTTCTCTGCTCCCATTGTCTCTCTCTCTCTCTCAATAATAAATAAACATTAAAACAATTTTTTTTAATATTAAAAAAAAAGAAAGAAAACCAAGAGACCCTGGGCCAGACCTGTTGCTTTCCGAGCCCATCTATCTATCTGTGAAATGGGAACAAGAATGAACCAGCCCAGCTCCTTCCCAGGGACAGGTGAGGTGTGGACACAGTGGGTGGGCTCAGGGAAAGCAAAGCGTGGCCTCCCTCTCTCATTCCCACGGGAGACTCAGGGGGCTCCCCCCTACACCCAGGCTCCAGCGGTCTGGGGAGACACCCTTCTGCAGAGCTGTGCTCAGAAATACGCACATGGAAAGCAGGAACCCCAGTCCCCGGTGGAGGAGGGGATGTGCCCTGCAGGGCCCTGTGTGGGAGACGGGTTCCTTCGGAGGGGACGGAGGGGACGGAGGGGATGGTCACCCTGCTTCAGCAGAAGCTGAGACAGGGGACAGGAAACCAGGAAGACTCCTTTTGTGGCCTCAAGGGGGGCTGCTAATGGACAGGGGAGGGGCAGGGGAACTTGCCCAGCCGGAACTTAGGGCGCGCTCAGCACCCAGGCAGGAGGAAGGCACCCAGGCTCTGCCCCTGTGGCCCTGCCTCCGGCCTTTGCACACCCCTTCCCCCCTCCCCTCTACCTCTGCTCTTGATGAGGGGGCTGACAGGCCGCACCCCCTGCCCCCAGGTGGCACGTGCGTGATACTCCTCTACACTCCCGGCTGCCCAATGCCACAGGAAAGGGTTAGCCGACAGAGGTCACAGTCCTGCAGGACCTGAGTCTCCGTCGCCCTCCATGGTGATGTGGGGACAACGGCAGATAGAACTAAATTTCCTTCTAACCTGCAGCCCATGGAGAGATACTTAGGCCGGCGGAACAAAATCCCCACTGGGAAAACAACCTTAGCCTGACAGCAGCCAGGCCTCCAGGACCCGGGGAGTCTTTAGCATGTGAAAGTGTCACTGGAAACTTCCCCTGGACTTCACCTCCCCTGACTCCAGACTCCGGGCTGGCTGTGAGCCCAGTGTCTCCTCCTGAATCCGGGGCAGCGCTTCCTGCCCAGGGGTCAGGTCCCCGTCTTTACTAAAATCACCTTTTATGCACCAAAGATGGCTTCAAGAATTCTTTCTTGGCCGCGAACCCCACTGTCACCCCAAAAACCTCATCACTCGGCCTGGTCACCTCCCGTCTCCTGCACCCCACTCCAGCCTCCACTGTGGGCTCCAGTCCCTGCTCCCCGGGGCAGTTAGGAAAGTTCTAAGAAACGACACGCCTCCTCATTGGCCCACAACAGCTTTTCTTTTACTTTCGAAAGGGCTGGTTCCGGGCTGAGCACAAGTCGAATCTGCTGACAGGGGTCCTGGGGCCGCGGCTGGGGAATGAAGGGTCCTGAGGGGGAGCACAGAGCCTCTCTGAGGCTGGGGGCCGCCCCCCCGGAGCCGGGCACCCGAGGCTGATGACATGAGCTTGGTGAGTCCTCTGAGCCCGTGCGTGTGTGTGCGTGTGTGTGTGTCCCAGCCCTCTCCGGGGACCTGCTCTGGGCCACAGCCACTTCCTGTCTCCTGTAGGCTTTTGTTCCCCAGCTGCCCTAGCTCTTGGGCTGACTCAGGCCCCGGCACTCGGCCCCTGCTACCAGCGGTTGGTGAACAGACTGGCAGGAAGCCATCCCCCCAAGCAGCAGTGTTCCTCTCCGTCCACCTTCCCCCACCACCCTTTCCTGGGCCTCAGGGCCAGCACCCCCCGCCCCCACTGGAGGGCGCTGCTCCTGGAAAGCAGGATTCCAGCAATGGACTCCTCCCCACCCACCGGCCACAGCCCGGTGCCCAGTGATAAAGTCCTTGTTTGTGCAGAGAGGGCGGGATCCGGGACTTGGCCCGGCTGGCGGCTAGCCCCCTGGGCAGTTACTCCTCAGGAGGGCCCCCCCCGGGGCTGTGGGCTGAGTCAGCCCGGGAACCGGGGCCCCCCAGATAGCCCTCCTCCCCACCCCCTGCCCAGAGCCGCCTGCCTCCCCTGCGCAGCCTGTGACTCCTCAGGGCGTCCCTGCTCCGTCCGTGCGGTTCCCCAAGGGCTGCTGCCCCCACATTTCACAGGGGGTGAGCCCGGGGCCCCGGGGACAGCCCTGGCAGCTCCCCCCTCGCCTCCCCAGCTGTGCCCTGTCTCCACAGACCCTGTACCTGCTCCTCCTGGGGCCCCTGCGCTGCTCCTTGGCCGCGGCCCCGTGCAAAGAGGAGGAGTATCCGGTAGGGGCCGAGTGCTGCCCGAAGTGCGGCCCAGGTACGTGCAGGCCTGGGGGCAGGGGGACAGGCAGGGGCGGGTGAAGCCCCCTCAGCCCCTCTTCCACTCTTCTTCCCGAGACCCTGGGGTCCCTTCCTGCACAGGGATGGGGCCCGGGGGCCCCAGCCAGCCCATTCATGGCCAGGAGCTGGGCCATGCCCACACCTCCTTCCAGAGTCATGCCCACACCTCCTTCCAGAGCATTCCTACCCGTCCCCGAGCAGGCTCGCTGGTGAGAGGCAGCAGGGCACCGTGTGTGGCGTGGGGAGCAGCTCGGGTGCCCTTCGGGCCTGGGGGTGTGGTCACACCTGCTGGGGGCCTCCGGGTGGCAGCACGCGTGAGCCCCCGCAGGGCCCTCCCCAGGCCCGAGTGACACGGAGCCTCTGGGGTGCAGGTTACCGGGTGCAGGAGGCCTGCGGGGAGCTGACCGGCACACTGTGTGTCCCCTGCGACCCGGGGACCTACACGGCCCACCTCAATGGTCTGAGCGAGTGTCTTCAGTGTCGTGTGTGTGACCCAGGTAAGAACACTGGCCCCAAAGGCTACCCGCCTCTGTCCCGTCCCACATCCCGCTGTGGGGGGCGTGCCCACGTGACCGGACCAGATGCTGGGCCAGGCCGGTCTGCCTCCGGGGCAGAGGTCTGCAGGCACATCCTTCAGGGAGCCTTGGGCCTCTGTTCACCCCTGTCTCTCCCCGGAGTGGGGTCAGTGCCTTTGTAACCCCGTTAGCCAGGCCCTCCAGAGCTCAGGGACCGCGTCGGTCACATGGACACCTGAGCCTGCGGCCAGCCCTGATGGAGCCCCAGGGTCCCGTACTGCTTGCCCCGCGCACGGGTCCTGAGGGTCTGGACCTCGCCCACTCGCAGCGTGCGGGTTCTCACGACCTCCCCCCCCCCCCCCCCAGCCTCCACACCACACCGCGGCGGGCCCTACTCGCGGCTCAGCGCTCTGACCCTCACCTTCTTCCTGCCAGGTGGTCTGGGGTGGAGGGACCCCAGGAGGAAAGGCAGGGGCACAGGTGGAGGCTGGAATGCATTTGGGTCCAGCCAGGTGGGGTCAGGGGCTGGGAGCCTCGGGCTCACCCACAGATCCTGCGATGCCGCTGAACAAAACACCTGTCTTATCGGGCTGAGGTTGGGGTGCAGAGGCACAGAGGCTGCCCCTCAGCAGGGGTGCAGGGGTGAGCCCAGGCCCAGCGCTATCCCCACCTCCCTCCCCCCCACCCCACTGCCAGCTGGGGGAGGGGCTCTGTCCTGCCATCTGACTAGCCTGATAGACTGCCTGAGGGGCGGGGTCTTCAGGTGTGGGTGTTGCGGGCCCGGTCCTGCTTCCTGGGACTGCCCCGGGGCTGGGGCCTGTGGCTGACTGTGGTTCCTACTTCCTGTGTGCACCTGCTGCCACCAATCTCCGTTTCCCCACCAGGCCGGCTCCCCGGCAGGTGCTGGGTTCGGGCTGAGCGGGCAGTGCGCCCGGCGGGATCTCTGGAGGGAGCAGAGCTGGCCCCAGACACACGCACCAGGCTGCGCCGCTGGGCTGGGGGCCTGTCGCCAACCTGTCCCCAGGCGGGAGCCCTCAGGCCCGCGGTGCTGTCCGGGCCTCTGCTTGGCCTCCTCCTGGGACGGGGCGCTCAGCACTGCCCGCGGCAGCTGATCTTAGCTCCTTCTCTTGGGTCCCAGCCATGGGCCTGGTGACCAGGCGACAGTGCTCCAGAACAGAGAACACCGTGTGTGTCTGTGACCAGGGCCACTTCTGCGTTAGTGAGTCGGGGGACGACTGTGCGGAGTGCCGTCCCCACACGGCCTGCAGACCTGGCCAGAGGGTACAGCAGAGAGGTGAGCGGGAGACTGCGGGCAGCCGGCCTCCTGGTCCCCAGCACCCTCTAGGAGACGGACCCCAGACGCAAGCCTGGGGTGGGGGGAGCCCAGCTGCCCCGCTGGCCTGATCCCCTGCATCCTCTCTGCCTGGCCCTGTCATTTCTCAGGCACGGAGTGGCAGGACAGGGTGTGTGAGGACTGCCCTCCAGAGACCTTCTCGCCCAGTGGGACCCTGGAGGAGTGCCAGCCCTGGACCAGGTAGATGATCCCGGGGTGGTCTCAGCCCTGTGTCCCTGGGAGGGGCTCCTCCAGCTCCCCTGGCAGATGAGGCCCCACCCTGCTGTTCCCTATCGTGCGCCAGCCTCCGGGGGAGCCCCTGCCTGGACTCTGGGGCTCACACACCCCATCACGTTAGCCGAGAACTGAAAGTCAGTAGATGCGAGTTTCCTGGAGGCCAAGGACGGACCTTCTTCCCTGGGGCAGGTCTGGAGGGATGCTGCCGCCAGATTCCCAGTCCCCTGTGGTTCTGGGGTGTCCCCAGATATCGGGGTCATGGGGGCTCCCAGCGGATCTGGAGTCAGGGAGGTTCTCAAAGTGAGGGCTCCATTCTTCCTGCGACCATCCCCGGAGCCCAGAGCTAACCTGGGCCCTCACAGTGTCCCTGGGCAGAGGTGGGGGGGGGGCTGGGGTGACCAGATGTGGCTGCTGGTGGGCGACATCCTGCCTCCCTCGGGTCTGTCCGTCTGTCTGTCATGCCGGCTCTAAGGGTCGTGCCCCCCTGACCAGGGCTCTCTCTGCCCTGTCTCCTCCGACCCCGCGCCTCTCTGTCTTGCTGCCTCTCCCCGGCCCTCTTCCCTGACCCGTCTCCCCGTAGCAGCGAGGCCTGGAAAGGCAGAGGGACCCGAGTTCACACCCAGAGCCGCCGAGCACCTTGCCACGGGGCGGTTGCCTCCACCTCGTGGAGCCTGGCGGCGCCTCGGGGACACCCCCCACCCCTAGGTCGAGTGAGCATCAGGCCCCCACACTGCTGTCTCCTAGGTGCAACGGCCCTTTTCAGAGCCTTTTAAATGCTGGGACCAGCAGCTCCGATGTCAAGTGCTCCTCCTGGAGCCTTTCTCTTTTTGTGGGCTTGACCTTTTCCGTGCTTCTGCTTGGTGGCATAATACCCATAGTCGTCTGGCTACTGAGGAAAAGGATGAAAACCAGACGGTCACCTGGTAAGCAAGGGGCTGTGGTCCCATCAGGGCTCAGGGCCCCGGCAGGTGCGTTGGGGGGAGGTCAGCAGGAGCCGCGGGCAGGGCTGGGTCCTCCCGAGAGGCCTCACATCGTTCGCTCAGTCGCTCGGTCCCTGCCCGCTTATCTGCCCTGCTGCGGGCTCCATCTGGGCCAGGCCCCGGCCCTGGCCCCGCAGACCCGGCTCTGGCCTCCAGCAGGGAGCGGGCGCTCGGCAAGGAGTCCAAGCGGGGAAGGTCAGCCACCTTCTCAGGCTGTCAGCTAGTCCGTGCTGGGCCCTCGCCCCAGGGTCCGCAGGCCGCAGGCAGGCCTCAGGGTCCCGGGCTCTGAGCGTGCCGCCCAGTGGCCGGTGTTCTTTCTCACCCGACTCAGGGGCGCCTGTTCCCCGGGGGACCCTCCCCTGTGAAGTGTCCACTCCCTTTCCCTGGATGACCATCACATCGGGGCGCGTTAGGGACAGGTTGTGGCAGCTGGAGGCTCGGGCAGGAAGTGCCCCCACGTTGTCACGAGTCCTGGGCTCCCTGGCAGACAAGTCCGCATGGGTCCAGCCTGTCTCCCGGAGGGTCCTTCTCTCAGGGAAGGCCACACAGAGAGAAGTCAGGAGCTTGGGTCCCCCCAACCCCCAATGCTGAGCGGACTCTATGTGACACAGGGTCTCTGTTTTGCAGGGGGACCCGCCAAGGGGAGACTCTTACAGGTATTATGGACCATTCCCCGGCCCCCACCCACTGGAGGTGATGCCTTCGGGGTGGGTGGGGCTCCCGGTTCTCTGAGGGGCCTAGGTCCTTCGGGCCAAGCCACGTCCTCGCCTTAGAAAGCCAGGAAGACCCCGAACACAAGGCCCACGGGCGGGGCCCAGTACAGGCGGGTCTTCGTGTGGAAATTCCCCATCGCGACACAGAAGGGCGTGCCGTGTCCACCCAGGTCCCGCAGGCCCCGCCGGACGTCACCACAGTGGCTTTGGAGGAGACGGCATCCGTGTTTCCTGGGAGGGACCAGCCCACCGATCGCCGGCTCTAGGAGGCAGACGTCTGAGACATCTCAGGCTGTGCCCGCTCGAAGCCGCCAGGCCCCCGAGGGCAGACTGTGGGCCCTCAGACTCGACGCAGCAGAGGGATACCGGCCGCCGCTCAGGGGGCTCGGGGACCTCACACGCCTCCCATCAACTTCGCGGGGGCCCGCCTCCCTGCCACCTGTGCTGTCCACGTGTAGACCCAGCCCTGTGAGGACACTGCCACTCTTGGCTCCAAGCCCCGCTCACTCCCAGCCCCTCTGGGCCTCGGCTAGCTCGTCTGTAGGATGGGCCTGCCCGCACCTACCTCACAGCTGCGGCGACACTGGAGGGACCACGAATGTGGCACGACACGTGACTGTCACGTTTGCAAGTGATTTCTAAATTGGAGGTGTTTGTTTAACAAATACAAAATTTGCTTTTTAATTTCTCGTTAAAAAGTATATTTTGGGGGCGCCTGGGTGGCGCAGTCGGTTAAGCGTCCGACTTCAGCCAGGTCACGATCTCGCGGTCCGTGAGTTCGAGCCCCGCATCAGGCTCTGGGCTGATGGCTCAGAGCCTGGAGCCTGTTTCCGATTCTGTGTCTCCCTCTCTCTCTGCCCCTCCCCCGTTCGTGCTCTGTCTCTCTCTGTCCTAAAAATAAATAAACGTTGAAAAAAAAAATTAAAAAAAAAAAGTATATTTTGGAAGGATGTTTTGAGAGTATGTAAACCTCCTGTTTCTCCCAAAACTTTCATCCACTGATTTAAAAGATTTTTTTTATTAAAAATTTTTTTAATGGTTATTTATTTTTGAGAGAGAGAGAGAGAGAGAGAGAGTGTGTCAGCGAGTGTGGGGGAGGGGCATAGAGAGAGGGAGAGAGAGAATCCCAAGAAGGCTCTGAGCTGTCAGCACAGAGCCCGACGTGGGGCTCGAACCCACGAACCGCAAGATCGCGACCTGGGCGGAAGTCAGACGCTTACTGAGCCCCCCAGCGCCCTGACGATTTTTGCCTGAAAAGTGAATGTGAGGGTTTCCAGTCGGGGATGTGACTCCCCCTCGTGCACTAGTGAGTTAGCGTCCGTGGACGGGGTGCTTCCCCTGCGGGCCCTACGGTGGCCCGTGCTTCCTACTTCGACAGCGGATTCTGATACATGACTGTCATTATTTTGAGGCACATGCTGTCCCAGATTTGTCTTACAAGACGCTGTTTGACTCGTTTCTGATGCACAGCCCCTGCTCTGTCTCCCGAGAATCCAAGGAGCTCAGCAACCCACACACCGGCTTCCAGAGCATTCTCCATCAAAACCACCAGGCTGCTCCTAGAACGGCTGGCCCAGGCCGGGGCCTCGGGAGTGACAGGCTCACCGTGAAACCTCCCTTCATACAACGTTCGATGCGGCCACTCAGTGTGCATCAGCCCAAAGCGCCCCCAGAAGGTCCCCCTGGGGGTTACGTCCGAGTCCTCTCAGGTCACTTTCCTGCCTGCCCGCGGCCACCGGGGCCACCAGGCCACAGGGCCTCATCCCAGCACCTAAACGGCACCAGGTGGGGCAGCAGGGATCAGCAGAAGCCCCCAGTGCCTCTGGACCAGCACCCCAGGCCCAGGGTGCCCTCGGGCTCACCTGTGCAGGCTGACGGCCAAGCTCACCAAGGAGACTATAAATCCCACCCAGAGCATTAGCGAGGTGCTAGCTCTCCAGTGAGACGTTTGCACATCACGGGTGTGTCAGAACCTTCGAAAGCACCACAGAATTCAAGAGGTAACATCTCCCAGAACACATGGTTACAGACAGCACGTGCAGTGGACCGGCTCCGAGCCCTCACTGGGCCATTTTAGGCTTTTTTTTGTCTTTCGGGATGTTTTTTGCCCCGATTCTATTTTCTATTAAGCACCTTTTTTTTTTTTTTTATGTTTATTTATTTCTGAGACAGAGACAGAGCATGAGCAGGGGAGGGGCAGAGAGAGAGGGAGACACAGAATCCGAAGTGGGCTCCAGGCTCTGAGCTGTAGGCACAGAGCCCGACTTAAGGCTCGAACTCACAAACCGTGAGATCATGACCTGAGCTGAAGTCGGTCGCTCAACTGACTGAGCCACCCAGGCGCCCCCCTCCCCTTTTTTTTTTTAGAAACACTGCCATGGAGAAGATGCCCATAGAATCCCAGAGACCAGCCCAGAGCCTCAGACAGGAGCTCAGAAATACAGGAGGATACAGGCATTCACGGGCTCTTTAACTGCTGCGTTTATTTTGTGCTGAGAGTGGCCCCCCCCCCTTTGCCAGTCTGGGGGTTGAACGAGTTCGAGGTTTCCAGAGGGAAGCCATGGGACAGGTTAGGACAGGCTGGTCCCTGCTCAGAGGGACTCAACACACAGCATCACCAGGTCTTGGCTGCCGGGCCCACCTCCCAGCCCTCGCAAGCCCCTCCCCGTCCCTCCCTTCTCCTGCAGCGCACACGGCCCTGGGCCCTCAGTGGCTGCTCACCGAAGGCCTGAGCCTGCTCCCCCTCTGCAAACCCCACCCCCGTGACCACTTCACCCCTGCGTCTGTCTCTGCCTCCACCTCTATCCCCTCGGCTCCTGCCTCCGCCCAGGGTCTCGAGGGAGCGGAGCAGGGCCACTCAGGCCAGCAACCCTGCGTCCATCGGGAGGAGCTCTTTTCTGCTACCAGCTCCCTTCCCGCTGGCCGGCAGGAGGCTGGGGCCTTGCTGGCCTGGTGGGTCCTTTCTCTGCAGGTGAACTGGGGGTGGGGGGTGGGGACAGGCAGGCATCTCCTTGAAGGAGCCCTGATGTTGGAGCTGCACCTTGGGGAACCAGGGTCCATGCCCCCCTGCTCTCTCAGTCCCTGGCAGGGTCCCGAGCCCTTCCCTTCCCCTGACGGCTCTCTTCCACGGACCTCAGGGCCCCTAGGTCAGCAGCCTCCCCTACGGCTCACCCCACCCTCGGCTCACTTCCTGGGTAGCTCTTCACCGGCCCCATGCTTCGCTCCAGGGCACAAGGAGCCCCATGTGGGCTGGTTTCCAGTGCTGGGGGGGGGGGAGGGACACTGAACCCCATGTCCTCGGTCAGTGTGCTCTCATCAGGCAGCTCTGGGTTCTGAGGGTAGGGGTCCTGGTGCCCAGGGGAGGGGGCTTCTTGCCGAACCCGGCACTGTGACCCATGGGGCTCCCCCTGCCCAGGGGCCAGGAGGCAGGAGGGCAGTCCGGGTCTCGGTGGGCATCCCGGACCCTGATCAGGAGGGCTTACCAGGCACGCAGGCAGTCTGCACGCATCTTTCAGAACTCCAGGTCCAGGTGTGGCGGACAGTGGACAGGTGCCCTGGTGGTCACATCCTAGAACTCTCCTTGACCCGGGCAGCACCCCGCAGGAGAAGGCCGGCCTTGCAGGAGGATGCTACTCTTCACTGCCTCAGTGGGAGGAAGGAAAGCTTCCTACTACCCAGCAACAGTCCAGCCGATGAGAGCCTCTCACAGCTCAGCCAGTGAGAAACAGTCACAGCCCAGCCAATGAGAAACCGTCACAAGCTAACCAATGAGAGCCTCTCACAGCTCAGCCAGTGAGAGACTGTCACAGGCCAGCCAATGAGAAGCCACTACACTTCGAGCTCTGTCTTATTCCAGTGAAGTTAACAGCCTATCCCAGCTCCCTCTGTGCTCTACGAAGGAACCTCCGCCGGGCTTTCCTCTGCGTTGTTGTCTGCAATTGCATCCTGGATTGCAATTCTCTGCTATTTCCAAATAAAACCATTTTTTTGCTGGTAAAGTAACTGGCAGTGTAATTTTTTAAGGCTAACAAAGGATCTAATCAACAAGGGTCCGATGCGGACCTGTAAAACAGAATTGAAACTCAAATAATGAAAAACAATTATATTTTAAATGAATAAGACAACTACCAAGAAAAACTAACCCTATGCTGATGAGGGAAACAAAGGCAAGAGAAATGTGGCTTAAATTAAAATCTCCTTACAGCTTGCTGCCCACTGACAGACACCTGAAACATGCCAAAGGTGACCTTCCTCGAGGAATTCATGGCTGCATTAGTGCCTTAATGTTTGTGTCTTATTACAGGCTAAAAGTAACCTTATCTTAACAGCAGCTAGCCCCTCAAGGTCCTGAAAGCCTTGCTTCCAAATTCCTTAGAGACTGCACTGTCCATAACCCTCAGTAATTAAAAAGTATGTAGTCATTCACTCCTTCTCATTGGGACACTTTCGTGTCAATTGCTCAGGCTGCAATCCTCTAGCCAATGGCTGCTCTACAGGGAGGAGGAAGCTGGAAGTTAGTCCCCTGGCCGGAATGGTAATAAGACCCAGAAACTCGATGCCCTCTCTTTATTCCTATTCTTTTTTTTTTTTTTTTTAATTTTTAATGTTTATCTTGTGAGAGAGAAAGAGAAAGAGAGGAAGAGAGAGACAGGAGGGGTAGAGAGGGAGAGAGAAATCGGGGTTCAAACTCACAAACTGTGAGATCATGACCTTGGCCAAAACCAAGGGTCAGACGCTTAACCAACTGACCCACCCAGGTGCCCCTCTTTATTCCTATTCTTATATAGAGCTGTCTTTCGGGAGTTAGGACAGCCACCTAAGTCCCCAGGACGGCTGCTAATCTTAAAGACTCTCACGTGAAGTTTCCTCCTCATTGGTCTAATGTGATCCCCTCCACATCCCTGGTCTAGCCGCTTCTGGCTGCAAGACTTAGGCTCAGGGTGGGCCGAAAGCAGCACTCGAGTGAATCAAAGCCCCACTGGGGTTGGCTTCCTAGAGAAGTTAGCTGTAAAAGTCTACATATGCTGGAATGTTGCTTACACTGTGATGGATTTCGCTCTTTACTATTTTTTCATCAGTGTCCCCTACTGACTACTAAAATTACAAAATTGGATAATTTCCCCTTATAAAGCTCTTCTGGTGTTTGCCATGGGTGAAAAATGGCACGGCCTTCATGGCAAGGCGCAGCGCAGTGTTTTGGTCCATGTGCAGACACCCGTTTTGCAGTCTAGCATGCGTCGGGGAACGGGGGGCCTTTTCAGCTGCCCGGTGATCATAGTGATTTTGTTTGAGGGACCCCTCCAGTCACTTTGACACCGGGAACCTGTAACACATTCCGCACGAGACGTCACCCGGGAGTCGGGCCAGGGGGGATTCTTGGTAATGAACCTCTAGGCTTCTTCCTTGGTCCCCAAGGTCTCTCCCTTGGGATGCCTTTTAATCCACTGGAATCAATTCAGATCGCAAGATTCAAAAAAGGTCTTCTGTCAAACTGCACGGCCTCAGTACTCCTGAGGAGACAAGAAAAAAGAGCCCATTAACGGGACTTTTAAAGCTTCAGTACGACTTATCAGTTAGACCTCTTCTGCAGGAAACGGGGCAAACGGTCTGAGGCACCCTGTGTCCAGCCCTGCATGGCCCTAAATCACGACCCCGATCGAAGGGCCTCTTGCAGAATGTGTTTGGCCACTAACCAGGCGAT